CTTTCGCCAGTATGTGTGCGTATGTGTACCTTTAAGTTATTGGAAGTTGTGAATCCTCTCTTAATATGTTGCACTCATATAGATTTTTACCGGTATGTATGCGAATGTGTCTCTTGAAATTGCTAGAACACGTAAATCCACTGTTACACGTTTCGCATATATATGGTTTCTCACCGGTATGTATGTTCACGTGTCGGTTTAAAGAAACTTTTGTAGTAAAATTCTTCAAACAGATTCCACATTGAAAATGTTTTTTTTCACAAGTAGTGTAACACTGGTTAGAGCTCTGTTCATTCAGTTTTTTCAGCAAACTGTCACATTGAGAAGCACTTTCCTTTGCATTACTCGCCTTACTTGATGAATTCTCACGTTTCCTCAACTGCCTTAATTCCGCATATGAGTTGTTTAGGAAATCAGCAGGTCTTTTGCCATCTTCATTTCTGAGTGCTCTCGGCAAATCTAATGCTTCTTGCTGAGTCGTCTTATTTCTCTATAATAATAAATTCAAACAAGCTAAAATACTTTTTCTGAATTAAGCATGTGATGGAATTCGAAATTTGATATTAATAACTTTTATAAACTCACGGTGGATTCTGTAAATTTCAGCTGAAGTAACAGACACGATAAAGCAACTGTAAAGAAGTGATAAGACATCTCTTGATGCATCTGAAACCAATTAACATTTTCACTTTTTTACAAACAATACTTGTCATACTTCATTCATTTTTGAAAACTTCCTAAGATGAAGTTTTGCAAAACAGATTACGACTTGAAGACTCATCTACCTGATCTACCTGAAATGTACATTATACACTCATTCAAATTCAACTTATTTGCTTTTTGGGATTACAAGTATTCTATTTATATGTATTCAATTTTATTTGGAATGTCAAAAATTGAGAGGGAAACTATGAATTACTGAATTTATAAACTGAGAAATAACGTCTGTGATTTCAAATTGATAATAGCTAAGATGAAAGTTGTGACATTATTTTTAAGCTTTTGAGATAAATTAATACACGAGTTAGACTAAACTTTATGAAGTAGTTGGGATTAGTGTGCAAATTTTTAAAATTTATTGAATCACTTTGAAAGATGAATTCTTCGGTCAATACAAATACTTTACGACTATATGTATGCGTACTCTCAGCAGTAAAAGTATACATATGTATTCGGTTTTGCCAGCAGCTTTTTACTACTATTCGTCAAATATTCTTTTTGTTTTCAGTCAAAAATATGCCTAATAATAACCTCACGCTAAAATCACTTGTACACATTGTAAAAAGATCATTATGGCATTAAATTAGAAAACTCATTTTATTAAAATAATGCGTCTATTTGTACTAGACAATAGTGAAGGAGAATGAAAACTGAAGACCCAATTCTATTCTTAACGAGCAATAAATTGTAAGTAAAATAAAATTGCGTTACAACTTTAAATAAAAATTTATCTTAGCCAAATGAACATTTTATATTGAACTGAGTATAGACGAAAAATCAATGACTTTTAGTCAGTTATGTTAATAATAAAAAGAGCAGTTAGTTTACAAAAAACCAAAAGGTATTATCATAAATTAGTAATGCAGGATTGTTGATAGAATCAAGTCATAATTCTTGCACAAAAAATGTATGAGCCTAGCATTAACTTTCGTATTGTTTAACTTGAATTCAAGGATGAATTAAAAGGTAGAGCTCCTGTATTGACTGATCACAATAAGTCAAAAGTTACGTGTGATTATTTGACTTTTGGCCGGCATTAACATAAAAATAATTTAATTCTGTATGTTACTACCAGGCTAAAATATTCAGTGAATAATGAAATATTTTTAACTTCTCAAACTGTTAGATCAAAGACTAATTCAATACTTTTTATGCATTTCAATATTGTTTGCAATGTAAAAGATTTGACAGTGATATTTGATCGGAATATTTGCATTTCAGCAACACAAAACCAGTGATTCATATTCTCAGGAAAGGGAGAGCTCTCAAAAACTTTATTGTAAGAAAAATACACGTATGCTTGTTTGGTAGTAGCGCTGTTTAAAACTTCTTCTGGAATCTGATCCATCGAAATCCGTTTCATTTTTACTCACCAGTTTCTTTAATAACAGAATTTGTTTTCTATTACTAAATTTTATTTTAACCAACATTTCTTTAATATTTTAAAATTAATAACCATCATGATACTGTAGAGTTATGAAGCTCGCTACAGTGGACAGTAATATTCTGAAAATTCTAATTCCAACAGAAATTCTGGCGGCTTGGAAGACTTCAGAATTGAATTCTGTTTGAAAAAGCAATTTGCTATAAGAAATATTAGATCTCCGGAATGGCTACATATCATTTCAACAATCTCTCACAGCATTATCAATCACATCACAAGAAGCAGTTGATAAGAAACTCGGTTAAAACTTCATATCATAATTTCATTCTCTGCATTTGCGTAATTAACATTCTTGTTATTCATTTCCAAAGTATATGTTCATCACATGATGCAGATGATAATGGATATACAATAAAAGTTGAAACGTTGCAACAATATATCGGCTGCTTATACCAAACGATGAAAATATTTCTAGAAAACGCGATTTAAAAATTTTTTAAATTGGGTTTGACTGGTCTGTCTTTAATATTTGCAAAAATTAGTGTTCTGACCAAATCACCGAATGTATCATGAACATTATCAATAATACATCCTTTGTTAATAAATAATAATCGCCAAGTCCATTTTTAGGTTACGTTGAAAATATAGCTAACAGATCAAAACAAACTACTCCTTGGAGTGTATTTGAAGCAATTTTAATTTACGTTACTCAGCATGCGTAAGTAAAGTAAAAATTGTGCCAATATCAATGAGTATAATTCCGGATCTTCGTTTCGTTCCCTCAAAACTAGCGTGTTTTCATCTAATTACACCTTTTAAACGTTGTTTTACAAAATTTTCGAATGTTTTCTACCAAAGAATTAGAATCTGGATAACGAACTGGTACGCGAAGAGGCCAAATAAAATTTTAACAATGACCTATAGACCGTTCTAGGACCTTATAACTGGTATTCCTTGTTGAACCAAATTTACTCAACAATGTCACACCTTCCATACTTCCTCCCTTTGAATACAAATTTACCGAAATTCATTCTGCCCTAGTTGTTAATATTCAATACTAAAAGTCAATTTATCTAATCACATTTGCAAACATATTCATTTACTTCATGGAATCACTCTCACCAAATAAACCTGCAAACTAAATACCTGTAAACGATGACGCATAGACAAATCGAATGCGAACTTTAGGTCAAGCAATGAAAAAACTAAAGATGTGATCAAAAAGGTCATCCCCCCACTTCCTTTAGTAAAACATTTTCATATTTCTTAAAATTAGTTTCAACAACTTATTCCCAAGTGCTAAAACTACCCTCCCACTTCCCTTCATTGAATATCAGTACTCATTATTGAATTGAATATATGCTCACAGATTACCAATATTTCTAAAAAGACGAAATATCACAGAAAATACTTTAAGCTGCGAAGTAAGGCACAACTTCAGTCTTGCCAACAACATACTTTCCCCATACCATCATCCCTTATTTCAATTGATACTAAAGGATCCCAGCTCCAAATTAAAATCTGCACCAACATTCACGCTAATTCCTTTTCAAATTTTACAGAAGAACTATCGTACATGGCCATCCTTATATTACAAGCATGAATTAGATGCATTACACCCTTTCTTCAGTATTCATAACTGCACAATTAAAAGAATACCACAAGACTTAGATGAGCAACACCAGAGACTCTATCCAAGTGCCGTTTCCACTACATATTAAATGAAACTCCGGATAAAAAGTGCAAGAACAAATATGACCAATAAACTGAGCACCAAGTTATTCCCATTTACTGATGTCATCATAGCAAAAATGTTGATAGATTTTTAACAGATTTCAAAAAATGAACATTGCCAAATCAGTTTCATAATAATTTCCATAAGTGTATGCATAAAAATTACATGCTATAGCATCATATCCTTCTCTGTATAAAAGTCAATGATATCTTTACGCACAGAATTCCAAGCAAAATATAAGCCGAGAGTCGACTTTTCCACTAAAACAGTATAACCGATAATATATGAAACCGACTGGTATCTCGTACACAATGTATACATGATAAGTCAGCGATAAAACTGAGAAGCACTTTTAGTACATTAAAACCAAAGTTTACGATAACATAAATTATGTTCTCCCGCTAAAGAACTTAACAAATTATCCAATGGCGAAGAAAACTGCAAAGTTATAACAGTGGTTAACATTTGTATTCGCAACCGATTTGATTTTGCTCCAAAACATGCGCAAGAACTGATAAAGATAGAATGAAATAGATCGCTTAAGAGCGGATACATTGGTACAAAGCACTTATTTAAGAGCCCTCAGATTGAAAATAATAGGTATGGACATAAACTTAATCCGAATATGGACATTGTGAGTTCAAATGAAAACATAATTCATTAGTTTAATCTAATTTAATTTAAACCAGATAAATTCATATCATATTGCAAGCAAATATTGAAAAACCTAAAATCACAAGAACCCGTACAAGAAGAATTATCAGAGAAACAAAGAAACCGATATAACAATAGCAACAAAGATGAGTTAATTCAACCAAAATGAAACTGGAATGAAAACGGACCATTACTTCCACCGAACGGAAAACCACTCTGGAAAGGATGATGGTAGCCTCCTTGCTGCTGATGCTCAGGATCCAGTGGATCTTCTCCACTATCGAAGATCGCTCTTTTCTCAGGATCAGTTAGCACCTAGAATCATTTCGCCACTACTAGATAACTATTAAGCAAAAAGATTACGTCCTACAAACTTTTTAAAATCCCAATTAAAGAAAATTTTGAAGTGTAAACCTCTTTTGCAGCTGCAATATCAACAAATTTCTCCCCTGCTTTTTTCTTTTCTTCTTCATCGTTGAATAAATCCGGATGCCATTCTTGTGCTTTTTTTCGATAGGCTTTGACAATATCAACTTTTTTTGCATTTCTAAATATACGCCCAAATAGTTAATAACGAATTTCTTGAAAAAAATAAGCATGCTACCCCACACAAAGCTCACAAAACACTCAAGTATAAAAGATATGCTTTTTCGATTATATTAAACATTCCTTATAAAATTGAACAGTAACTTCAACAGTAAATTTTTGTATATAAAACTCAATTTTTTATGATAATAATAAATGCCCGTTACGTTATATAAAGCATTTACTTTTCCGTCCCTAGAATCATGTATATAAAGTAAAATATAGTCAAAATATATGAAATAAAAAGAGAATATTTACCTTTTTACGCCAAGAATTTTATAATAGTCTCTCCGACCAGTGTTCTTTTTGAGCTTCTGGGCTTTAGCAAGGCCTTCCTTGGCTCGTCTCAAATCTTCATTCAAATGTAATGCTTTTTGGTAATCTTCGATAGCTGGAAAATTTTTTTTGATATATTCCATACTTTTGAATTAGCATTTATTTTGAAAAATCAAAGAAAATCATCAGTTTCTCTAAAGATACTGGGAGAAATGTATCATATAGGTTTTGGAGATAACTTGCCGCTATCTTATTTTTGAGAACAACAAACGTTTACACTATTGTTCAGATCATCAATACTTATCTTGCATTTTGATATTAAATCCATTTCCAGCTGCAACCTTTCAAATAATTTTCTGAATTTTAATGAATACATAACTCCTAAAAAAGTTTAAACCTTCATCATATTTCTCTGTCATTAAGAATGCCTCCGCCCTATCGCAAAGCACGTCAACATCACCAGAATTAAATTTGAGTACTTCAGAACAAGCTGCTACAGATTCAGAAAAGTGACCAGCCTGCGAACAAAGCTACATTTAGAGAATGTGCTTAAACTGACTGCATTAGAGTTACAAAAATACTCCTGAGCTATAAAATAAATTAGTAACAAAAATCTATGATTGACTTACATGTTATTTTACATGACAAATAAATAGGATTTTCGCACTACTTTTTCAAAATAAGAAAAAAACTGACATGCATATTACACTTGCAAATGTGTTTGTACGCATCCAATTGAATTTTCTGCACCTCTTTCTCAATTTTTAAAATTCGCACTGCTTCATTTAAACATTCCATCCACTGCTTCCTTGCAACCAATACATTGATAGATTCACGCATTTTAACCAGTTTTTTAACCTTTTTGTAAAATTTTGAACACTGCTTATCATCTTGATCCAGTTTCAAACATTCTCGTACTTGACTGCAACAATATTATATCAACAGATTACTAATAATAGGTGACAGCAGTACTTTTATGCTAGTTGCAAAAAATGCAAGTAGCATAGAGTTCTCTTAATACTGAATCCAATAATCAAATGTTCAGTATACTAACGCGAGATTTCCTACTATAATAAATTATTTCAAAAAAACAACAGAAATAATATAGACTATAGTGAGCAACAAAGCGAGATAAAAATTATATAACTGACTCTATCAACAATGAATGCTAACGCCTTTAGGATAAGCAAATGAAGAAACAACTTTAGAAAACCAAATACAAGCTTAATACCAATTTTCAGTTCGCATCCATTAAAAACTAATGTTAAGACAATACTTTAATGACTCTTCCGCATCGCCCGTCCAGTAATAAAGATGAGCAATTTTATAAAATATGTCACTGCTGCCCGGTGATAATTTTGCTAGCAGTCTGTAATCAGCAATAGCATTATGTAGATCTTGAGACTGTTCTCGGCATTTGGCTCGTCTATGGTACAATTTCGCATCCCATATACATATCTGAACTGGTAGGGAAAAAGTATATATCATGTATATAATAGTTTAAAAGAGAGCTAACAATTTTTTTGCAATTATTATATTTCTTAGCTTAAACCATGTAAGCATTGTACTCGTGTCCACAAGTTCATTAATTCGCTTTATATTTCTGTAACTTTATCAGAAGAAATTATCAGCTTTCTGAATAAGCATCTAATATCCATAATTCAAGAATGTTTTTCAGAACTGAAACCTAAACTGAAACTAATATTCAGCAAAAATAATGTAAATCAAAGTATTCTTTACCTAAAAAACTGAATCTTGGTTTCCTAACAAAAATTTATGATTTGAGAAGATTATTTTCAAATACACAAGTTTACAGAGTAATCAAAATTCTAAGAAATGTCGCGGTCGCTTTCATCTCTCGCTCAAATATGTTTGTATATCCAGATTTTCGCAAAGATTTCAAAAGAATAACTAACATTAATCTAATGTATTTCGTAATTTTATATACAGGATCAAAATATGAATGCTTTTTCAATCAAAGTTCCAGAAATATAAGATGGACTAAATCAGGTTTTGATAAGTAAATAAATAAATTATAAAAGCGCATATTTGTACATTTATATTTACATTCATTCATCCATTTCAGTTACTTTCTTTAAACTCTCTTGAGATCAAGAAATATTGCGGAGTACCTAACATTACACAGCCTTACTTTTATGGCCTTCGAATAAAAACCTTCTGCATTCCGGAAATCATCTTTATCATAATAAAAATCGGCATGTTCAATAGTTGTCTGCACTTCTGAAACCACCGACAATTTCTTTGCCATCTCTTTATTTGCAGGATCTGCTTTCGCCTACAACTACTGCAAATATTACGTTTCTTATTATATTAATACTTAAAGTACTTTTTCAAGAAAGCTCCAGAAATTGCACAGTCAAAAAAATATGAGAAAAACCTTACAACAGCTTTATAATCACTTGCTGCATCATGCAAATTTCCTTGTTTTAAGAGAACATTTCCTCTTTCAATACGAGCCTTAACGAAAATTTACTTAGTAAGATGTTTTATACCAAATATTCTTACAATTCAAAGATTGAAAGATGTATACAAACACTCATAAAAAGTTCTTATAATTCAAATACTTGAAGATGTAAACGAATATTCAAGACTAATGTAAAAAGGTCATACAGAAGTAAAATCTGGCTTTAATTTGATCACTGCATCAAGGTCAGGAAGTGCTGCTTTAGATTTACCCATAGCCAGGTATACAGTTGCACGGCTGTACAATGCCTGATAATTTTGGGGATCCAAATCTGAAATTTCTAAATGATAATAAAAGAGCTCATGAATGCATAACATAGATTTCTTCAATGTTTAACTATATCAGTGATTTTGGAAAATTAGATTATTTAAAACATACCAATTGCAGCATGATAATGAGTCAGCGCATCCGAAAATTGACCTTTAGATAAAAAACTCTTTCCCATTTCGATATGTTTGTATAGTTGTGCTTGATTACCCTCAACAACTTGAAAAAAGAAAAAATTAGTTCATCAATGTCTTAAAAATTCGAAAAGAATGAAAGTTAAATAGTTCCTAATTTTGACAGGGAAATTAAATACCTGGAAATACAAGAAACAAAAACACCCATAACATTTCAGCTTGACAACGAAAAACTTCCCAACCAGTTACCATTCCCGCATATCCTTCTTCTGCCCAATGCATCGGCATTGTTGTCTGTAGACATTACAAATATATTTGTAAATTTTTCAAAAACTTTTGAATAATACTTGTGTAGCTGGATATGGCATTATTTCCAACTACCAATAAACCAAATTCATTCGAAATAAATTTAAATAAACTAATGTAATATCAAGTATAATTTAATATATACATACACGATGAAAGTAGACGCTACATTGTAAAAAGAGTACCAAAGGTTAGAAGGAAATCAAATATATAACTGCTTTAATTAAGGTAGTTAAAATTATATACAGGTCTAATTGAGATAATATCCATAGATACTAATAACTTATTGAACTTGTAATAATATATACTTAAATTTGATGAATCTGAAAAAAAAGACTCGTGAATCTCTACCACATCAAAGTGTTTAATAGCTTCCATCATGCTGTCTTCATTAAAAACAACTTGTGTACAACTCTGGATACTTATCTTATGTTCCTGCTCCAAAATTAAAATGACTCGCCAGACATGTTAGAAGTGAAAGCTTTACGTATGCCTTCACGACAAATGAGAACTGTTAAGCAATGTCAGCTTAAACTTTCTTCAGTCCTTTTCGACTATGCAACGTCATTTTAAAACAATATCGTGCCCAATTTATTGCTGTAAGACAAATCTTCCACCTGAAAATCACTAATCTAAAGCAGCTCAAAGATTGTGCAATTGTTACGAATTCATCTTTATAGTATATGCGCTTTAATTTGGTTTTATTACTAGAATTAGTTTTAGATATACGTAATCTAGATCTTTTTTATCGTTACATGATGCATAATTGTCATCGTAACTCATTGAGTTAATGGCATTACTATTTATGCATTTGAATTGTATTTCAATCATATAAGGAATTGTCTAGTTTGCTGTTTGAAACTTGCGCTAAAGAAGTGAAATGTTTTGTAACTTTTTAAGTTATCTATTAATATTTTCAAATATTCATTCAGAATGCTGATATCCTATGGCGTATTTTATTATTCCTTTTATTGTCTCATTTTCTCAATTCTATAATAAAAACAGTGTAAATTAATAAGTAGTACGATTTTACGCATTTTTTGATTGATGTGAATCAGTTTGACTTGTTTTATAACACGAAAAGTACCACCGTTCGTGGCATTTTTTAATTGAAATAGAATTGAAATTGAAATTTAATTGCAATTACGCTTTTAATTAAAGTAATCAGCTTGAGTACTCAAGGGGGCGGCGTATGTGCTGCGCACAGTGTATTCAATATCATTATATTATTAATTTTTTTCAGTATCCTTTTCAGTATGAAAAGTTGAAATCTTTTACTATTTCCTCTTATCGAATGAGAAACTGTCGATACTAATCATTTTTAGAGTAATTTCATTCTCAAAATTGTGAAATTAAAGAAAACTCGGGTGTTAAGTACATGTAGTGTTAACTTTTAAAGCTTCATAATTCAGCAAAGGTCCACGTTAATGAAGTAACCTTACTTGAAGCTAATTTTCTGGGGGATTATTCATTGCTAAATTGGGTATCGCTCAGAGCTTTTGTTATGCCGAATGTTAAGTTACAGAACTTGAAAATATAATTGATGTTTTTACGTTTTTTATTTCAGATTATGGATTTTCAGAATCGCGCAGGAGGCAAAACTGGTGGGGGTGGGGTGGCATCTTGGTCTGATGCAAATGTTGATCGGCGTGAAAGATTACGCCAGTTGGCTTTAGAAACTATTGATTTGCAAAAGGATCCTTATTTTATGAAAAATCATCTTGGTGGCTATGAGTGCAAATTATGCTTAACTTTACACAACAATGAAGGTAATCCGGATTCAGTTATTTTCAAAAGTTATTACATTCACAGATGAAATTGCCTCAGTAGATTACCGTTAAGTCGTCACGTTTTGTGTAGTTGTTATCCTGTATAAGATACTTTATTCACTCATGAACTTATTTCCTCAATTAAATTACAAATTGTGAGCCTTGTTAATCACTTCATATAAGTGCGTTTCCAAAATTTAAAAAAAACTAATTTACTTTTGTTTTTTCAAAATACCGATTAAAAATCATTATACGGATAATGAAACCATCATTTTAGGTTCATATTTGGCGCATACTCAGGGAAAGAAGCATCAGTCTAATCTAGCTCGGCGCGCCGCTAAAGAAGCTTCTGATCAGCCGTACATGCCAGCACCAGCACAAGCTAAAGTAGAACCTAAAAAATTTGTTAAAATTGGGAGGCCTGGTTACAAGGTACGTATTTTGATTATGCTGATTTGTTATTTACGTTTTATATATCACTATATGTATTGTCCGTTTTAATTCTTTGCTTAGTTTTCATTTTGCAGGTTACAAAGGAAAGAGATCCATCTTCCGGCCAGCAAGCATTGCTGTTTCAAATCGATTATCCTGAAATCGTGGATGGTATCACTCCCAGACATAGGTCAGAATTTTTAAGATAGCAACAGATATACTATTGTACGTTGATATAAAAAATTTGGAATTGCAGGTTTATGTCAGCTTATGAACAAAAAGTGCAACCACCGGACAAACGATGGCAATATATTCTTTTTGCTGCTGAACCTTATGAGACGATTGCATTCAAAATACCGTCACGAGAAGTAGATAAATCCGAAGATAAATTCTGGACTCTATGGAATAAAGATACCAAGCAGGTAATTGTTTATTACCTACACTTTTTTAGTCCTTTACCACCGTAATTATTTTTGCCAAATATTTGGATGTCGAGATTTTAAATCATGTTAGTTCTCGAGTGATAGTAGTAAAATTAGATGCTTTCTTATTTAGAATCTTTTCAATTTTTTGGTAAAATTACTATTCAATATCTCCCCAATATTAAATAGTATTTATGCGAAAAATTCTGCTGCACTACGCGAGCAGTGGTTTTTATGGTGTAAAAAATCATGATATTGAATGAAATCAACTAGGTCTTACAAATATATTATTCATATTATTAATAAGTCTTGAATTAGTTAAAATATACTGTGTTTGAGAAATTCTGTTAAAAAAAGCTGTGGAATAATCCACTGAGTAGGAAATATATTGGAGTAGTATTCAAAGTTGTAGAATTGGGTTTTTTGGCTTAATTTTCTAGAAATTGAATATTATGCAATCTTATTCTATTGATTAAAGAAGCATTACTTTTATTTCAGTTTTTTATGCAATTTGCATTTCGCTTTGATCGATTGAGTCAACATGATGAATCTGGACCTACTCCTACACCTGTCGGAGGTGCCATGATTCGACCATCGCCAGTACCACCTCCAATGTTTTTACCTCCACCATTTTAAACATGAAGAACAATTATTTCGTTCAAGTTATTTATTTGAGTCTTCTTTTGCATTTTTACGTTGTTGAACTGTAAAGAACATATTCTACTGGAAAAATTTTATTTGTCCATTCTACAGATATCCCTATATTTATAATTCCAGTTGCCTCGAAAACATAATGTCTGCGTAAAATTATGCCAAAAAGAAGGAATTGTTTTAAAAGTGTTTTGTTTATTGTTAAGAAATGAAGTAAAGCACAGTTTTTATTGCAGTGAGTATATACGTACCATAATGCTTAATGGCGAAATGATATTCCATTATGTCTTTGTTATTGTTATCAACTTTTTGTTTCCAAATTATGCCTCATCGTCTTTTCTACTGCAAGCATGACTGGATATGACGGTAGGAAGTATCCGTATTACTTTTAACATGTCATCGTGGAGATGATCAAAAGATGAAGTAGAATTATGTCAGCAATACATTTGGGAGAATTACTCATGTCTTAATCTAAGAATATTTGTTTCGTAAAAGGGTGTGCGAATTATGTTAAGGACTCCAAAATCTTGACAGTAAGTTTGGCATTGTTTAAGGATTTAAGATAGTATTGTTTTGAGAACTTCGTAAAACGAGATGTGGAAGTGGAGCTAGATTATTCAAAAATTGGTACTGTTGTTGTGTGGAAGGTCAAAGTTTGTATTCATTATTGGTTTGAGGTTGGATTTCTCATACAGATAGAGAGAATAACAGTGCATTTGTTTACAACAGAGTGAGAGAGTGGGTAGTGATGAATGAAATTATTGCAGGGTGAGTTCCCATCAATAAGTTTGTTAACAATAATGACTCATTGCTGCAAACTCTGAATGTCCTTGTCTGTAGGGGGCCTATCTGTAGTCGTTTTATTCACATTCACATTCACTTCTGTTTAAAATTCATTAGTGTCTTGGATGAATTGTATTCACGTCAAGTTGTACTTTCTTTAGTTTTTGTCATTATGGAAATTTTTTTATTGGATATTATGCATCCGTAATTATGCGTTGTATATCTGTCGATAGCATAGGTTAAAGTAGATTCATTTTATAGAATCAGTTATCACTTCAAGTTGCCCATTGTAGATCGTATGATGAAGACAGCAACTCATCTTTTGTTCATATATGTTGGTAAGGGTTTTTATTGCTTATCATATGTAGGATGAAATTTGTGCAATAATTAGGATTAATGTTGCTGCGAAAAAGATTATGTTAGGAATTTCCAATAGCAGTTTTTATTGAAAATAGTTTCTTTCTTTGTTTATTCAACTTTCCGTTGTTTCGATTTTAGCGTTTTGTTTTTCAATGGTCGCTTGTGAGCATTACTATGTGAATACTATGGATGGTGATACATGTATCGTTTTGGATTCAAACATCACCGGTATTATTCACTACAACAAGGTATGAATATTTTAATGTTTTCCTGTGAATGGTTCTCTTTATTATCTCTGATAATGATTTATTGAGAGCGTAAAATAGATGGATTAACGCAGGTAGTAATTTGTAGCTGGATAATGAAACAGGAAAACTCGAATTCAGTATTACGAATGGACAGTCTAATGGTTCCTGTGCGGAAAAGCAGTACATAACAATAAGGTTCAGAAGAGTGTATTTCAATTTTAAAGTTTATAACAATTGCATCATGAACAAAATCACTTAATCTTATTTCGAATGTAAATATGTTAATTTTATTTTATGCGATTAGCTTACGATAAAACTAAAGTTATTTTAAACATATTTTTACAGTTTAGAGAAAGCAGTTTAAAGGTCCACTTTTATAAGAACAAATTTTTGTCAAAAAGTTTCAATTTACGAAATTTCATCTTAATGTAGAATAATGGAAAAACTAAAATACATTATTCTACTAAGAATGGTAGTATTAGTTATAAACTGACTTTCCAGCTTTTATCCGTATGATGTGCTTGATATGGGACAATGGAATCTAACTATTTTCTTCCAGAAAAATAATGATTTGTATTCGATAAACAATTATACTTTAGAAGCGAGCTTTCAACCAAAGTTAAATGCGACAGGTTGGTAAATAGCTCCCGTAATCAGCACAAATTTATTCACAATATTTTCGTAATTCATAAAATTATGATTGTAAAGGTAGAATTTGTCGTAAAAGTCTTAACACCAAATTTGTTCATTTTCATTGCAGTCAGTTTTTTTTTTCATTTACGGGTACACTCTTTCGACTTATAGTCAAAATTTAAATAAAATTATGTGCTTAAATGTAAATTTCATATCATCTTGTACCTTTGATGTTCTCGGTGTTAAAATATTAATTGCGATACTCAGGATCAAAGCAAATTTATACAATGAACAAACATGCAGTTTTGGAATTAAGTTCCAGCATTGATGAAGCATATCAATGCTCCATTGTAACTTTAAACTTTGAAAAAAGTTCTTTGATAAGATTGCATGACATGCGTCTTATTGCATACGCTCATTTCAATGCGACTAAATTTCCTGAAGACCAAGGTACATTACACTAAATAACGTAGAGATCTTAAAATTTGAAACTTATAGAATTGACTCAGAGAAGGGATGTATTTCAAACATCGTTTAGGTATTTGTCAAAAACTGATTCTATCATTTTTTGTTAGTTTTGCGAAAAGTGTTTATGATGCAAAATATTTCAGAATATACATTATGTCGATTAGATTTTCGAACTTCAAACTTAGTGCCAATAGTTGTTGGGGTGTGTCTAGCTGCGCTAGTCATTACTGTTCTGATTGCTTACTTAATTGGCCGGGCTCGGGCGAAGCGTCAAGGTTATGCATCTGTGTGAATTTTAAACTGCTTGATGTTACTTATAATGTTTCAGTGGTATGCAAAAGTTTTTAGTATCAATTTTGTCTTGCTGAAAATTTTAATTTCCTGACGTTCTTCTACTGGAAGCTAACTGTTGTGTCTTTACACTACACTTGACTATTTCTAGCGTATTTGGCTAGTACAAAAGTACTATTTTTTTAGAAGGCTTCACTTTTAATGTTGAAAAATTATTTTCTATTTTCGAAACCTGCGCATAATTTTTTTCCACTGTTCTGTCCCTGAGTTTTTTTTTCATTTCATTTCGTTGCCTTATTTTTCCTGATTTGAAGTTTTCCGATACCATATTCATTTCAGTTGAAGTTTTCAGATATCCTTTTCATTCACAAAAAGTGTGTACCACTAAATGCTATGCATGTTTAATTTAAAAATCTCATTTTAAAAAAAGAAAAAAATTTAGCACAGGATTGTATGTCTTATATATCACATATTGCTAGAGCAAAAGTACAAAGATAAATTACGTTTGATCAGTAGATTCTCGCAGTTAAAGCTTCCTCACTCAATTTTCTATATTTATCTTCATAGAAGAAGTTTTAAAAACATTCTGTTCCTTGTATCGTTGGGCATACTGCTTTCAACATGTATGACAAGAATCATCTTTTCAGACTGTTTTATTGTACATTACATTTTTTGTAAATGATGTGTTATTTATTGTTATATTTTTGGTAAAAGGTGTAATTTCCAGCAGTGTTAAAAAGCTGTAGATGTATTGTATAATATTTTGAATTTTTAGATAAAGTGATTTTTTATTTTAAATCAAGGAGAGTACATTACAAGGCAACTCACAAATCCTCCGCTTTCTGTTACGATAGTTTTAGGATTTTTGCTCTTTGGGCCTGGTATAGTAAATTGAATGATGGCGGATTAGTCGATACTCAATCCCATTGCATCTATAAGGAAGGCTCTCCTATCCTCGTGTCATTGTTTACGTATTTTATTAATGTGTTCCATTCACGTATTCGGTATTTAGTACTTTTTCTGCTGCAGGTTGAGTTTCATTTCTTCAGTCGGTGCATTGAACAGTGGTGTTTTTTAATGTAGTTTATTTATGATATGTAATTATGATGTATTACATGGGTAATTTGTTCTGCAGTTTGTTAAAGAGGAATACTAATGTGGTAAATATTCGATCATTTCAGGATGTTTCCGAACAGATTGAAAATAGCGAATTCGATATTGAGATGTAAGAACTGTTTTTTGCAAGATAGCTTAAAAACCTTTGGAAGTAAGCTAGTTGAAACACATATTGGTTCTAACGGACGAGATGTTGTTCGTTTTGAAGCTGGGCATATAGCACGCTTAGCTGATGGTGCTGCTGTTGTTTCACAAGGCGATACTTCTGTATGTTCGGCTATTTAAACTTGGCAGTTTTCACTCTTCATTTTTTATCATTTTTCAACGTAGACATGCAAACTTAGTAGAAATAAAATTTCTTAAATGTTAAATTAATGTAATAATATATGGAAAACTTTGAAGCTGTAATTTGCTGAGCTATAAAGATACTTAGAGAATTAATCTCTGAGGTTTGTACTTTTAAAGTAAAAGAAAATAAGCTTTTAGGTGTTGGCAACAGTGGTGGGAAAGCAAAGCTCAGGAAATGATATGGCAGATTTTATGCCTCTTACAGTAGACTTTCAACAGAGCGCATCAGCTATCGGTCGAATTCCTACGAATTACTTGAGAAGAGAGTTGCAACAAAGTGATGCTGATATTTTGGCATCTCGTATGATTGATCGATCAATCAGGCCGTTGTTCCCGAAAGAATACTGTGGTGAAACTCAGGTATAAATTTTTTATTCCTCGATTTCGGTATAAAACATTTTTCTACGCTTTTCTGGAACCGAAAATTTTTTCTACAAATTACATATGTTCTGATAGAAAATCAGGTGAATATCTGCGTGATTTTAGGTAATTTGTAAACCGCTCGCAGTAGATGATGATGGAGATCCAGTGATTTTGGGTCTTAATGCAGTTTCTACCGCTTTAGCTTTGTCGGACATACCTTGGAACGGGCCACTTGGTGCTGTAAGAATAGCTCTCATTGAAAATCAGGTATTTTCTACATTTTAGCTTTTTTTCTATTCTTTGCAATGATTAAAATTTTCGGATGCATTCTCTCCATTTTTGATAAGTATTAATTTTACATTCTTGAGGAATTTTGTGTGAAGTATGCAGCCAAATTTTAAAAGTTTTCATCATATGCATGCTCAAATGTATTAGCTGTAATCACTTAGGTGGTTATAAATCCTAGTCGAAAAGAGATAAAAAATTCTGAACTGGACTTGGTTATTGCTGGATGTGATCAAGGAAAGCGTGTTCTAATGATTGATATGGATGGTGTTGAAATTGAACCTGAAGTATTTGAACAGTGTGTCGAAAGTGGTCTTCAGGCAATTTCTCATTTAATTCAAGCTATAAACGAAATATGCGATTCGTGTGGCCGATCAAAAAGACGAGTATGTCATTTTCTTTGAATTCTGTTATACATTGTTAGTTTTCGTCACTGTAATTAAACCTGCAATCATAATATATAAGTGAGCTAATTCATAAAAGAAAATCACAACTAAGTAAGTAGGTGACAATTATGTTCCTTTTCATCGTCGATAAAAAATTTTTTTTCATGTGTGAAAATATATATTGTATTTGATTTTAAAAAGATATTTGTGTTTGTTTGTCTAAATATTTTCATTTCAAAATAATTTTTAGCTTTTTCAGAATATTTATGGAGAAATAGATATAGATTTGTTAGCTCTTACAGAAGAAATGCAAATCCTATGTGGCACTCAGTTGCAAAATATTTTTACGGATTTCGAACATGATAAAATTTCTAGAGATAAGGCTGTTTCTGCTTTGAGTGACCAAGTAATTGAGAGTCTTAAAGATAGAAGCACTTCACATAAACTTCGTCGTGTCTTCACAAATCTCTTAAAGAAGTCACTAAGGTATATTTTACGCTTTGGAAAGAAGAAATGATATTCGTTTTATATTTTTTCAAAGTTTTGTTTTTAAAGACCGACAAATCTAGCTAAGTAATAATTAATAATAATTAATTTCTTTGCTAGAATTGTTGCAAAACTACTCTTTTATATGTGATGGATGCATTTTATTTTATTGAACTATATTGAAGTTCTTTTATCCACATAAGTACTTGAAAAAAGATATTTCCAATTTTTGATAAGCTCTAGAACTTTTAGTACACCACTGAAGTTCTAGAGCTATGTGGTCAACATGTTTAAATTTTGAATGAAGAAATAGCTCTAGTTTCACCTAATATATGATTGCGAGCAGTTCGAAGGATACTGATTAATAATTTTTAAACATGTTGACCACTTTTGCAGAGAAATGTTATTCAAGGATGGTAGACGATGTGATGGAAGAAAACTTGATGGATTTCGTCCCATTGATATCAAAGTTGACGTTCATAAAAAGTTGCATGGATCGGCATTATTCCAACGCGGTCAGACTCAGGTTTGAAAACTAGATTCAAATTTGGGACTATATAAATGCGAACAATTAATTATTCAAGATATCTTTTCAAATCTGAAAAGATTTTTTTAAACAGTACTTCTGTAGTGATCAACTTTTCAGGTGCTCAGTACCGTAACTTTTGATTCGCCTTCAGCCGCATTTCAGCCAGATGCATTGTCACTGCTCCTTGGTGCTCAACAGAAAAAAATGTTTATGTTGCATTACCAGTTTCCATCATTTGCCACTACTGCTATTTCGCCTTCTCGACGGACTACACGCAGAGAACTTGGACATGGCGCTCTAGCCGAAAAAGCTCTCAAGCGATTGATTCCTGAAAATTTCCCTTACTGTATTAGATTAGCTTGTGATGTGAGTGCTGTATATAAATGATATATCTTCGATTTTATAGCAGTGAAATTACATAGCAATATTAGTGAAAGAATACCCTTCTTTCACACTACTTAATATAAAAATAACTGTGATATAATATCTGTTCATTTTTCCATGAGCCACAGTAATGAGATCTACTCATTTTAACTTTGTAGACGTTTTATTAGAAGTGAATGTGTTAGAAGTATGTACTAGAAAGGAATTTTTAGGTTTTAGAATCAAATGGGTCTTCTTCGATGGCATCAGTGTGTTCAGGTTGCTTGGCTCTTCTTGATGCTGGAGTACAAATGAAGGCACCAGCTGCTGGTGTAGCCATGGGTTTATTTATGAATGATGAACAAGAATATTGTGTTCTGACAGATATCAATGGTTTGGAAGATTTTGCTGGAGATATGGATTTCAAAATAGCAGGTTTGCTGGGTTCTAATGCATTAATACAGATTATTTAGATATTTTCATCTCCTGTTATTTTTATATGAAGATTATAGTCCATAGATTTTATTCCTGATCAAAGTTGTATGAGAAGAGTTATGCCTTTTGTTACGCGAATTTTGCACCCTTTATATACTTTTAGGGACGATGCGTGGTTATACTGCTATGCAAATGGATCTAAAAATACCTGGCATTAAATTGGATGTGGTAGCAGAAACTTTAGGGAGAGCAAGAAAAGGATTAGAACACGTTCTTGAACTGATGAGAAAAGCACAACCTGGCTGGCGCGAGCACTTTAAAAATACAGTTCCAGTACATGAAACAATACCTGTTGCAATTTACAAACGGCACATTTTATTTCGTAGCGGAGGATACAATTCAAAGCTGGTTGAGTCGGAAACGGGTGCTAAGGTTTACCTTATTCTCTTAGATTATTATTTGTTTTAATGGCTAGATAATTTAATTTGCAAAAGAATAAAAAAATAGTTAAATTTACGAAAAGATTTTAAAGAACATTGTATGCATGTTTTTTTAATGAGCACGATAGCTGAGAATATATTTTTCCCATTATGCGCAGCAACATTATAGTTTACATAAACTATAGATAAGCATAGAAGACGATGCAAACATATCTATCTTCGCGCCAAACAAACAGAAGCTAGAAGAGGCAAAGGGTTTGTTAAATAAGTAAGTGCTAAATGAAATCAAAATATGAGTCCCCCATATTTTGCAGTATACTCGTTGAGTTTCAGTATTTTTTTGTCACTTGAGCTAAGGTGATCATTTCCATTTACACTGTATATTTTATTATATGCCTATTGCATCAAATCTTATGAATTTATTAAAGAATATTCGAAAACGAAAGCGATGTAGAAATGATATTCGGTGCAATGTATAAAGCAGAAATAATAGATGTATTGGAACATGGTGTCATGGTAACATTGCAAAAAGGAATGAAACCAATTCTTCTGAAAAATAGGTTTACTAAAAACATTTTGAAAGTAAATACTGACTATTAGAGCTGAATGATATTTTGAATATCTATACTGCTTTCGTTTTCTTTCATTTATTAACATATTAAGACGACAAATATCCTAGTTTCTATTAAGTCTAAAAGAAGTTTTCGGAACTGTTTTATCCGAATATGTTCGAATTTTTCATTCCAGCAATTTGGACACAAGAAATGTGGCCCACGCTAAAGTGCTTGGTTTCAAAGTTGGCCAGAAAATAATTGTCCAATACCTGGGGCGTGATCCGGTCACAGGGTACCATAGAATATCAAGAAAAACATTGCAATCTGCGTCTCTACCCATTCAAAATATGCATCGTGACATTTAGGTGTTTTATATCAGGGAATCTCGAGTTTTTCTGATTATTAAAATTCTATGAGCAGTGGAAATTTCTATTCCTTCAAATATATTGTTGATCTTCAAACACATCTGTTACTGTGGTAATGAACGAATTTTTGAAATAGAAATGTACAATTCAAATTTCTGTATTTGGCATTGCTTAATGCAAAAAATGAATCATAACGAAACCATAACATTCATTTAAATATTTTCGTTACATCTGCCGTGGACAAGATTTATAACTTATTCTTTGGAATTATTATAAAACCAAGTCCAATCGATGACGAGCTGGTTTTTGAGTCTAATCTGCACTGAAATCAACGAATAGTAATGTCGGTTATTTCTGTGTTACTTGGATCCAATCAAATTAGCATTTTAATGACAACTGGATTCAGGAAGTCGCAGAAAACTATGATCCTCCGCTTAATTGTGGTTTATTCTATTTTATGGTTCGGGGTATGCTATATTACAGCTATGTTCATTCATTATTCTTTGAACACATGCTGTGTAGTAGTAAGAACATAATTATAATAGGTAAAGAAAATTCTACAGCATTTGTTCGACTTGAATGAGGTGAAATTTTTATTCTGTTTAGATTTCAATGATTGTAAAGACTTATTCAATATGACAGACATGGATGATGCGAACTCTTAACTGGTAATAATTGTATTAATACAATAACTGTTGGCAATTACTTGAAGTGCTCAATGTATTGTATGATTAGATTATCAACTGATGATCGAATGGTCCTTTTTGCTCTAGATTACTATAAGAAATTAATAAATACCTTGTTTCTTCAACATTTCTGTCGATATTGAAATAAAATAATTCAACGCAACATTTGCATAACTAAAATCATTAAGCAAAACGCTGAAGTAGGCATAGTATTCTCTATACGGTAGATCTGTCACACTTTTTTAAGGCAAAATTCAAGTTTTCAAGAAAAACAAAAAACAAAATGGAAGAAGAGATAGTCACATTTATCATTTCGAACTTTGAAAACCTGGAAATTGAATTATAAGATTTAGGAACACAAAAATACAATAACTGGCTGCTGTCAGTAACTTCGTAAACTTGGAACCATTTACTTGCATTTTTGAAATAGAAAAATCTTACTACCAAAATGTAATAAAATTCAGAAAAGAAGTTATAAATACAAGAACGGGAGTTGAGTTTACAATACGTATTGCAATTTAAAGATTTCATATTGGATTATTCAGTCAGAATCGGAGTGATATAACGAGTACGCGGTTTGTATGTCGACTGAAGCAATAAATGGCGTAGTAAGTCATTTCTAAAAACAGATGGGTAATTGTTTGGATGGTTTTGAGAGTAATTCTTACGTAATTGTTATGAAATTAATGTGCATGGTTAGCATTAGGAATACTTAGTATTTATTATCAAATAAAATTTTGAGTAAAGAGAGTAAAATGGAAATAGCGATCTTGAATTATTGAGTTACAACTTTTCATAAATTCAGCGCGGAATATAACGGGATAGTTCGTGATCACTTCAAGTCATGTAATAATGATAAATTTATTAGTGTTGTAAAAGTTCGAATTCACGTAGAAAGCTAAATGGTGCAAATGAAAGGAGTAGAAGAAATAGAATCGATGGAAAGCCATTTTCCACTTATGCCGATAGAAGAAGCTATCAAGCGGTTTTTCCCCGCCCTTTCCGATTTTAAACCGCCAAAAGACGTAATTACAGTTTTTCGTATGCTCATTGTTTGGACTTTTCTTTGCAAAATTGAAAATTGAAGTGACATATTACGTTTTTAAAAAAATTAGCTCTACGTTAAATATGAATTTAGCATTAATTGACAATAAATGATGAACTTTCATGATTTTTTCAAAATGATATTTTTCTCGATAAAGAATTTTGTAATTAGTCATTTGCGGAATCGAAAAAAAATCGTGCAATAGATAAGATTGCAGATTGAAGGATTGGAAAAAATCATAACATTCAAATCATATTTATTATTGGAATTTATTTATTATATTTAAGAAAAATCTGGAAAGACCTCCGCGAATGTTTTCAAAATGTCCCGTACCAGAAATTGATGAATATTTTGAGTATATTGCTAAAATTGGACGACCGCTATTTAAATGGGAAGTAATACGGCCAGCCTTCCTTTGGAAACTCGAGGTTTTTTTATTAACCGAAAGGAAATAAAATACAATCATTATTTCGTTTCAGGACTTTGTGAATTTTATGGTTTTATAAACTCAGTTTTATTTCCGTGGAAGCTTTATATATTATGGGCCATAATTTCTGAAATTTTTTCTAATTTACGGTCATTCTCTGCTTACTTTAGTATTATTTCAAGCAAACAATATCAGAAATGGTATGTGTTGAAACGGAATTAGCGGTGTCAGAAGAGGACAGAAAATTACTGATCTCAGATGATGAGTTACGTGAACAACGTCAGTTTATCATTCAAAAAGGTACGGAATTTGATGGGACACCTTTCACTTTCCAAAGGTTCGTCATTTCCCGTCGTTTCTCATTCTGTTTATCGCAACTTCACTATCTATGTTAAAAATATTTCTCAAATTTGTCGTAAATTATTTTGTTAACTTCGCATTCATGTTTTAAAAGAAAATAAAATTGATTTTAGTCGAACGAAAGCTATACAAATGGGTTCAAAGATGTGACTTACGTTGAATTTTTATTAGTAAGTAAAAAAGAATGTGAACTATTGTGTGATAGCATTAGATATAAATTCAGACTTTGTGAACTTCTTACCTCTCCAACAAGACATTATAAACGAGCAAGTAAATATTTACGAGCACTGGAGAAGAATATCAATGTAGTAACAACGATTACGGAAAATGGTGAGCGTATAACAGGAATTGAAACGGATGCAGAAGACTTAGATGCTGTTCCATGCAATCGCATAGAAGTTCCATTTTTCGTTCAGGTAGATTGAAAAATCTTGTATACTTTTTTGGTCCATCCAACTATCTTATTATTGTAGGAAAAGATATTCCTATTGAGTATTCGATTTGTCGAATTTTATGCCCTCTCAAGACTGGACTCAATTTTTTGAAATAGGATTATGGACGTTTTTTATAGGTTGATGAATGTGATACGCCAATAGAAACAAAAATGTTTGCCACTGGATCTCGTCTTAGCAGAGTACATGACTAATTTCTACGGGTTCCATTTTTAAAATTGCAGATGCCATAATCTGTCTGCTCTATGTCTGAGTGTTTTCAGATTCTTTTTTTGTAGTCAAATAGTACAGTGTTTAAACTACTAAATAATTATACTTGACTAATAAAGAATTTTGTTCTTTTAAACTATGTTTCTGCTGAATAGCAAAATCATGCATATATAGCACTAAGACTAAGACCTTTGCAATGTCAGTATTTTACAGTTCCTTGTAGTGCAAAGCCAGTATTCAAAATTTTGATAGGAATCTAAATAGTGTTAACGCCTCAATATACTCCGTGTCATATATTTTTATCTTATGTTGTGTGTAGTTTTCAGGATAACGGTACTTCAACAATAGTTCTTAATCAACATGAATCTAAAGATAATACTCCAATCAATCTATCTTCTTCCCGAAGCTCTTCAGAAGATTTATCTAGATTTGCGGTAACTTACTTATTCTTATTGAGTTTTTACAATTTTTCTTCTTATGAAGTTACCGCAATTAACAATGAGTAACCATCTCACCTTTCTCTTTAATTTGATGAACGACTACTAATATTGTAACTGTTGCTTCCATTCGTTTGCGAAAACTGTACCCAAGAAGCGAAACTAGCATTTTAAATGTTGAAATATCAAATGAAACAACTCTACTCTCACTTACTGGTAAGGTTGTAGAAACCAACGCAGAATTATATAGTTCCTTGTTAATTTAGCCCGTTAAAATTGGTCTTTCTTCAACCTTCTTGTGTTTCTTTAGTAACGGCAACTTTCAGCAAAAAAAAACAGATGGAACGACAAAAGCAGACTTCCCCATGTCATCAGTCACGGATCCAGGTGAAATACTGGCCACAAGAACTGAAGACATGGAAATTGACAACAATTAGTGCTCCCTGCGAACATTAATTTCCCAATATCCGTGAGTTCGTCACTTGTCCCGGATAAGCTAGCCGGAACATATAAATTATTTTTGCAATCTTGCGACGTAGTACTGTCTGTGATTTGTGATTCGTAATATTTGTGCGTTTTTTGTGCGAGTCTCAACAACCTTCCATTTGTAGCTGCTTTTCACTACTGTTCAGTGCATACGAGAGCATTTATGTAGCTGACATGGGCACTGCTTATTTTCTCTGTGACTAATGAAACTTTGTCCCATATAAGGTACTTTTGATAAAATGGAAGTGTTTCCAGATCGACATGAAAACTATACCCTTCTATTCTGAACAACCAAAACAATTGCTTTGCATAATCTGGTTTTTATTTATTGTGAACTGTCTCCCATACTTCATTGCGCGCGCAAAAGAAAATGCCGGAAACAGGAAAGCGCAATAAATGAAATAACGACAATTTTGCTTACTTGACGGATCAAAAAAACATGACAATAATTATATTCAGTGAATGAGATTTGAAAATGCTTCTAAAAGACAAACTCCCTCATCTCAGAACTGAAGGTTCATCACAGTTCATAAATCTTCCTAGGTAAGTTCCAATTATTAAGTAACTAATTTCACCATCCCATTTATACTAAATTTGCAGTCTTGAATAGGAGATATATAACCATAATAGTTAGCAATTTTCTACCAGGGTAGCGCCTGTACATGTATGAAAAGAATTCATAAATTTAGCGAAAAATTCGTATTTTATGATATTAGCAAGAAAAAGATCTTCAATTCGAGTTTCTAGTAGCAAAATTGAATGTGTCAGGTACCGTTGCGTTTACATTAAAAGCATATCCCCCCTGCTGTTCAACTTTCTTGCTCTTTGCCAAAGAAATTCGCTGTTTACACACCTGTAGTAACCTTTCCAGCGACATTCGCTTTTCATTATCAGTACATGTGGTCATTGAGTAGAAGAGTCCTTCATCGTTACTTCTTAATGCTGTAATTAATTAAAACATGTATATAAAAACCGAAAAAGGCAATAAAACATAAGTAAATGTAATGCTTGCTGGTGGCAGAGGTGTTCTAGCGAAATCTGCTCTCTTTTACGATGAATAACTGTTCAAAAGAAACTGTATGTCTTTAGAAAGCTGAGTGACAAGAACGACAGTTCCCCAAACCTTATTCGTAAACAGGATTTAAGGACCAAGTTAAATTTTGACAGAATTTTAAGAGATATTTTCTAAATAATTACTGCAGATTAAAGATTTAAGCAATTGGAAATCAAACCGTTAAGTGTTTCCATGTAGAAAATGAATACATCTGTGGTATCATCATCGTCAAGAGGGGTAAAGTATGCTTCCATTGAGTCATCATCACAACTGTCTGAAGTTGTCGATGCATCAGACTCTAATGTTTGAACATCGCTTTCAGTCTAAAAAGCAACAATGACTTTTACTCCACAACTAAGAAAAGCAATCTCTTTAACACCATCTACTCCTTTGCTTTAATCTGAATAATATTACTTTCCTGAACAATTTAAAGATTTTAAAATTACTCTTTCTTTCTTTTTTTGATGTTCAGCCAAAGCTTCCAAATAATCAAGAATATCTTCATCTATTTCGTCTTCACTGTCCGATAAATCTTCGTCTCGTTCGACTTCTTCCTGAAAGAATATCCTATTTTTGATTCATCACCTGAAGTTTAAAAGACTTGAAGAAGTCACGAATAGTATTTTGTAGTCATCGAACACATACACAAAGTTCTAATATCACCGACCTCATCCTTACCACCAGATTTCTTTTCATTCGCTATGCGATTCCCCGCTTTAGTTGTCATTGCTTTCTGAAGTCCAGTTAGCAACAAAACGATCAATTCATTGATCTACAAAGTCTATTGTAATATGTACGTTTTATCAAAAGCAAACCTAAATGAATATTATTTTTAACCTTAAGTACAGAAAATAGTATACAATGAAGATATGGTAATGGAATATATTACTTTCTGCGCCTTTTCATCTATCAAAGTTGGTCTATGCAGAACAGGCAACCTCGCCATCGTGCACAGACCTATTACAGTCATTTTAAGACAATGAACGCCTTCCAAATAACGAGCTACTGATAAAAGTTCGTTGACCAAATAGTTCAATGTATTGTTTCCATGAGGTTGCAGTTGAGGTAATAAGTTGATAAACATATCCACATCGTAATACAAACCCGCTATTACGACCTGCAACATAGACTAAGCCTACGCATATGAATTTTAAACCATTTATGTTATCTGGGAAGGATATTATTTGTGATAACGATATTTGGGAGAAAAAGAATTCTTCGCTCATGCGTGAAAAAGATCAAGTTTGAGAGCACAAACCGCTTTTCAAAAATTAGCAGATAAAAATTTTATAAGTGAATAATGAACAACCATTAGAAGTGCTGGTTTTAGTGTTCTACAGTTTTCAATCGGCTGATGTAATCGAGTAAGAATTAATTGAACGAGGTTTGGCACTAGATTGTTGATTTTGCCCTAGAAACAAATTTTATTAACTAATGGCACAAATCAAAACACTCTAAATTAGTATTTGAAAATCTGCTTATTTGCTCCATACGCTTCCAATATCAGTCAGGTACTTCATACTTTACAAACCTGACACTCGAGAATAAGGCACTCGATCAGTTTCGCTGCATGTACTTCATCACTTTCATCTGCATCTTCTCTAAACATACTGACAGCTATTTCTACGAAAGCTCTGACACGCTCTGGTCGAGCCAGAAAACTATCACTATTTACTGTCAGATATGTATGCAACACAGGCATAACATCTGAAAGGAAAGTTTGAATTATTTAACAGAAAAACTAAAAATATAGGGGCTCGCATCCTTCATAAAACAAGAATTTATGCAATCATTCTGAATTGCATTCTAAAGTTTTATCTATAATTTATTCATTTTGAATAAACTATATAGTCGTTCGCATCCTTTATTCATTCATTCTGAATTGTAGATAAAACTCTAGCGTGTAAAAAAAAACAGGAAAGGAAAATTCGATCGATAGATTTCGAATCAAATCAAAATTTCTGAGACAGAAAAGATGGCAAACTTATATCAGAATCAAAGTTTCACTGAGAAATAAAAAAATGTATACCTGTAAAAGCCATTCCCTCCTGTGTAATTACCAGTTTATGAATATCCATAAATATTTCCCACATCGGTTCACTTACTGAGTAAGTAATTAACGAATTTGTCAGTGCCAAAACTTCTTCATAATACTCTACAGAAACATCAACTTAGTTGTTCATATGCCACTGAATGAAACTTCGTAATCACCACTATTCGGAAACTTATTAAAAGGCGTCTCATTTTCCAATGGTATTTTTCATTCGTGAAAAAAATATTTTGAACTTCCTACCAGCTTATGCTGCCAAAAAAAGTATAGATTACTGATGTGTTGATGCATACTCATTAACAAACTTAAATTTCTATCACTATTTTAGGAAAAACAGAAACATTAATTTCCTTACGTAACAATTTTTTTTCAACAAAAATTATAGAAAGTATTTACCGATTTGATTACGACTCAATACGGACTTGATAACCTTACGAACTTGTTCTTCAATGTGATGAAGAATAAGTTGATTATCTTCAACCATATCTAGCACTGAACCTAATGTAGTTAGTACTCCCATTACTGCCACAGTCCGATCATCTTCTTCATTCACTGTAGTCGAAAGTTGCAAGAAGATGTTTGCCTAAAGAGGACTATAAATAAATATAGAATCACGGGCAGATAATCTTAGGATCTCTTCATCAATTTTTTTCATTACACGTCAAAAAAATATCATATCCTGTAAACAACATGACAAACTTTTATTCTTTGACTCCTTTCCAAATTTTAAAACTTACCAACTCTGCTGCGACATCTACAGCAATAGGAATGATGTCATCAACAAAATCTTCTACTAAAACTTCCATTACACCCGTCAGTTCCTCGATTTCCGCTTTAGCTACCAACCGCAATACTTCAATAATTACAGTGCGAACATGTGGTTTCAGAACTGAACGGTCTGTAATTTGAAATTCCATCCGTATAGCTTCCTTGAAGAACAAAATACGGAATATCAAAGAACACTGTACATAATGTCCTCTTGAAAACAGTATTGTTACAAAAAGACACAAACTTACAAGCTGTTTGTGCTTCTAACATGTACTGTACAGCTATTGCCGCTTCAACTTTCACTGGCAGTTCCTCATTAGCATCAGCTAACCTGTTAACCAACTCTTCATAAATGCGTGCAATGAGCGCACCCGACAACTTACCACAAGCGAATTGCTAAAACAGCTTTTATAAGAAATTATAACACTATACAGATAATTACGTTTTACAAGAAAAACACGTTAAAAACTTTTATCTATGTATGACATTATAAAAAATACCTTGACAGTCCAGCATGCTCTCGACCGTATAAATCGTACCGGATGGGTTATTTTTGGAATTATGAGTCTTTCCATCAATCCATCGATTACATTTTTATATTTCTGAAGAATTGCTCCAACTATTGACAAAGCAAATAAAAGCATATTTTTGCAAAAATTCTGACCAAGAGCAAAAACCGAATAGCAAGAAAATTTTTCGAGCTACAACATTTGAATAAAGAGAAACAATACCTTGCTTTTTGTGAGAGCAGTGAAGAGTTCTCCTAGCGCTCGCAAAGCACCTTCTTGATCACGTACATCTATATCCTGAGAAGTGAGATTACTTAAAGTGAACTCCATAATAGGTTGAAGCATAAACTTTCGCCTTGCAAAACCTGTCAGTACATTAGCTGCTGCTACGGATGGATTGTGTAACTCATCGTAAACATCTGAAACATCAAATAGCGGTTTCTAAGACAGTTTAAAATAAATGAAAAAAATTCTTGTTTCGCTTTCAAATATTTATTTCTTCATCGAGACGTTTAAAACTTAACGTCTAATAACAGACCATATTTAATGCGTATGAATTCTTCTGGAGAATCATTCCATAGCTCATCATCTTCATTCGAATATTTGAGTAACGGAAATAGCACACTACGTACAATTTCCTACAATTAAAAAATCAAAGTGATAAACGATGTTACATACAAATTTTGAATGATACCATATAATGTATAACAAATGTATGATATAAAATTCCACGTAAAAGAATAATACAACCATTTATACGGGCATTAACTGGGGTAAAAGATTACTTGACAATGAGGTTTGATTACTTTCCAAGTCCTTGACTGCGAAGTAGCAGTATCAATATACTGCAACAAAGAGTAGAGAACTCTAGATGACACATAATGCCCATTTCGGTAGCTATCCAGAACTTGCAAACACGTATTCAATATTGGAATTGCAAAGTGCGTAATAAAGTTTTCCGCAAATGTAGAATAATGAAGCTGAACTTGCCCAGGAGAACCATACCTTTAAAACATATCTACTAATCGTTTCTTTAGCCGTGACATATACATTTTTTGTAGATCTGAACAAGTCATCGGTACAAACTTTGTTTTCGATCATACTAATAAAACTTCCTAAAACTACTGATAATAAATGGGAACACCGAATTAAACAGCAGTTTTTTAAATAAAAGTAGATTCAGCGAGCTGTAGTAAAATCTTCAGCTTCTCTTTCCAGGAAATAAACAGTTGGTCAAACCTTTCAAACATCCGTTCAACAATGGCAGATGCCCATTTTTTACACTTCCACCATACTGTTCTTTCACGATCATCTTCATCAATCGCATTCACTTCCTCAGGTACTGATCTTTCAATGATAAATCGAAACTGCTCCAACCATTGCGAAAGAGACTGACCATCAAACATTTCCAAATTCAAAGAAAACTGCAACTAATAAACTGAATTCTTGAAGAAGATAGTTAAAACTGAGGGGACAAAACACACCTGAACAAGACCATAGAATATTTTCAGAATCAGTTTCTGCAGCAAGCACGACTCCTGAGACACGTCAGGCATCAGAGTGATTAAACGTTCTAGAAGCAATGGCATTAACACATTCATTGCTTCTACTAATGGTAACTTTTCTTTTACTCGGCGATATCTGTAAAAATAAGTAAATAATTCACTGTTCGTAAAGCAATGCTGAATATTGAGGACTGCAAGATCTTAAGCAGTGTTATAGTTTATTTCACACCAAGCACAAAACTTACTCGTAAAGCTTTACCAGGTGTCGTATTACTAATAAAGCTCCTAACCAAGATGGCCCATCTACGGAATGTAATAGAGTAGCAACTTTTGGTAAAAGAGAAGGCCAATTTTTCGGGAAATCGTGTCTCGTAATCACTCCAACTGTCGTACATAGTTGAACTCTGAAATGTTTTGAAACAAGTCACCATAAGTTCGGGTTTTTGTCTCAAAATTTTATAAATATTATTAATATATAAGTAGCAACCGAACAGCTTCTGGTGTAGATACAATAGCATCTACTATCAGTTCACGAATAAGATGCTTATCTTGCTCAGACAGACAAAATGACTGCTTGTCCTCCTCATCTATGACCCAATACCTGAAATGCTCACTTCATGATTAACAGCAAATGACTAACATTTCGACAATGTTTTCAATATTTTTAACATCATTCTAAAAACAAACGACAAACTTGCTGTGAGCTATAATTCAGCAACACATTTAGGCTAAAACTCAGGTTTCGATCAAGCTTCTTTTTACTAAAAGTCAATACTCAATTAAATACGATTTTTTCTCACAAATAAGCTAGTGGATAATTATAATCCAAATATTTGACGATCAAATCTACTTTGATAATTAAGTTCAAGATTCCTTACAACATCATATGCGTATTAAGCATTTTATGTGAAGCAAAATATGAAATTCCACATAAAATACTGTGAGGATTAATGTAAAAATAGTACATGTCACGATCTATGCAATATTGTACCTGTTAATCACATTCTTAAAATAAATCACTGCCGCCTGTCTGGAGGAACCATCTAATCCATCATCCATAATAATATGAAGCAAAAGAGGAGTAAAGCCTGAGAGCCTGACGTTCTGAAGTAATGTATATTTATTGGTTCTGATAAAAAACTATGCAATCAAAAACAATGTCTTCACAATGTTACTCAATTTACTGACTAAAAATATCAAGCCTTCGCAAACTATAAATTAATAAGATGAAAAAATAATTATTATCAGAATAACAGTGATAACAAAAATACAATATGCAATATTATATTACCATGAAATATTTTTGGATATTTTAGGAGCAGAACAAAATGTAATAATTATACAAGCAAATATAATAATGCTCTAGATGAAACGACCAAACAACTTAATGTACAACTATATTTAAAGAAAACTACTACTATACTCTTTCTCAGTTATTTAACATTTTTAAAGTACAAGAAGCCTGAACCTGTTCAAGATATGCTGTCGCTTCTTGATTAGTTGAGCAAGTAGTAGCTCGTAAAGCTCGTATTAAATATTCTCTATCCATTACAAAACAAATATTTTATACTCACCGCTTCTAGAACTTGAATAAATATAAGCATCGCCAATCAAACATGTAACGAAATTTAACTTATGATAACAAGACTTCCGACTCCTCAAAAAACAAAGTACTTCGTGATTGAACGAGTTCACATCAACAGTGCTTTTTGAATCCGCATGCCCTAAAGCCTGCCGGTCTCATAATTTAACGCAGCCCCTAAAGTTTTCGTTTCATGCATAGCAGTATTTAATGTGACCTGAACTGAATCAGTGCATCATAAAAATGTTTTCGTACCAATGAATTTAGTAACTGTATCTTTGTTCTTACGCTGAACTGATGATGATGCGATTTTTAATGCTATATCTTGTTTATGGTAACGGTGAAGATTAAGTAAAGATGGTAACAGCAAAGATTGATTAAAATTTTTGGAAAACAGCAAGAATCTAAGAATTATATGAAAGAAAATTTTCTTTATTAAAAATGTTCAATAATTATAGTAAAATCACAAAATAAGCCATAAGGTACATAAGGAGAGAAGCAAAATGTTGTAATTGTGTAAGCTAATATAAAATTGCTATGACAATTTTTTCCAGGAAATTACCCTTCTTAGTGATTATTTACAAATTTGCTAGCCTCAAATTTTGTTAACAATTTTTCAACTGACGTCAAGAAGCGTATCACAACTTTGTATGTCGATAATGACGAACGGAACAGCAGGAATACCGGAAAAGTTTATGGGATCATTTAAACTTGATCGCAGTGAAAATTTTGACGAATTTTTAGCCTCCAAAGGTAAATCTTACCTCATTTTTGAATAATTTGGAACGATTTATGTAAATATTTTGGAGGTCTTCTGTAGTTGTTTATTTCAACTTGTAAAGCATTGACACTTGGATAACTATTAATTTTTGGTCATGTTAATTGTGAATTACACATTTAAGGTATAAATTGGTTTTTACGAAAAATGATTTGTTATGCTTCTGTAACGAAAGTATTTTCTCACGCAGATGAAATCGAGAATGCTTACTGTCTGCAGAATCTGTCGGCTAAAAGAAACACTCTTTATAAAAATTGGAAACTAAGTGAAGATTTTGAAGCTGAAGGATTTGATGGAAGAATGCACAAAGTATGTTGAACTTATTAAAAAAGAAATCATAAGCTTGTAATTTTTCAGTGATTCACTGACTGAAGACTGAAATTTAGCTAATCAAAGTTTAAATTTATCATATTGTTCTTTAATTAATATTTGGAATAGGTTTGCAAAACACTCGATTTTTATATTCTCAAGCAAATATCAGATCAAGTTTGATTACGACCCTGAAACTGAGAGTTTAAAAGAAACTCATGTCCGAACAGATGATCCTACTGATGCTGGTGAAACATATACTTATACAGTAGATGGTAATACTTTGGTTCTGGTAAGTACTTCATAAAATCATTTTTCGGTAGAATAATCACATTTTTTACTTGTCGTGACATTTTAAACTGATTTGAGTTTATGAAGCTCATCTACTAGTTTCAGATTTGCAAAATTTTTGTATACAAAACAAGGTTTGGAATCATATTTTGCAGATTTTTTCATCCTTCTTCATTATATTGCTATCTTGATTCTATAACTAAAGACATTTTAGTAATTCACACATAATTCAGCAATTTTTTTAAATTATAAGCTCACGTGACTTAAAAAAATTATGCTTGATTGGCCGAAAGCTATAGAAGTTGCGTGTGTTATAATGCTTATTGATTAACTACTAACGCTTTGTTTATGATTGGACAAAATTTCATAAAAGTTTCAAATTATTTTTTGTTTATTTTTTAATAAAAAGCAGAAAGATATTGATAGTGTTATATTCGTGATTTAAAATATTAATGATATTTCAAGATATTTCAATGATATTTCAAAATATTAGTGATATTAGATATTAGTAATATTTCAAGATATTAGTGATATTTTTTCAAGATAGAAAAAAAAGAAAAAAAAAGAAAGATAGAAATAGAAAGATAGAGAAAAAGAAAAAATAGAAAGATAAAAAAGATTTTTTTTTCAAGATATTAGTAATATTTTAAGATATTTCAATAATATATTGGTGATTTATTGTTGTTGATAGTGTTATATTGTGATTTAAGATGATGGCAAATGAAAAAGCATCTTGTAAGCGATACTTTATTCGGCAGTCATCCGTCGAGCAGACAAAGCTTTCCTAAATCGTTGATCCCTAGGACGAAATTCTGTTGTAATAAATTCTATATAATATCATTTATGTTATCCTGTATCGTTTATTTTTGCATTTCTATCAAAGAAAAATACTTATTAAACAGAATATCATCAGCTTCTCTTAATTTATTTTTTGTATATTCAACTTTTTTTTAAAATCATATGTGTTAAAAATTATAGTTCGAGAATTTATCAGAAACATATGTATATAATTTATTAATTTATTTAGTAAACATGTCCTCTTATTAATTTTTTAGTTTGCGAAATTCAGCTTTTTGCATTTTACTCTCCTAAATTGTTAAGTTTTATAAGTTAAAGTAACCTTTATATTAGCTTATTATATTTCAGACTGTCTATATTTTTGTACATAAATGGGAGGAAAAAAACTAATACAAAGTTTATTCAATCACTCGAGTTTTTTATCCACGCAGTTAATTTAGAACGTATTGTGATGTGAGTAGTGCTAAAATATCTTTGCTCAGTAATTAATATCTTTACTCATGCATTTGCTTGATAAATTCTTGGCATTACTGTGTTTTTCAAAAATATCAGTGTGAAATTTGTGGTCAAGCGTCTCTCAACAAAATGATATTTATTGTTTAGAAAAATAAATCACTTTTCTACGCAATGTTTTTTACGCAGCGTGAAATTGATTTTTTTTACAATATAAAAGTAAACTAAACAAAGACAAATACTTAAACTGAAATAAAATTACTGAAAAAGTAAATTTAATAAATTCGATTAAGAATAAAATTTCACTCAAGTATAGGTCAAAGATGAATTTTTTTCCAAGAATTTCCAAGAATAAGTGTTTCTTAATCAATTACCTAAACTATGACCTCACAACTGCGAATCCAAAGATTAAGAGAGACAACCCTAGAAACTATACATAAAACAGACGATCAGTTGATTTTCTATGCACATAAGCATAAATCATGCACTACCATTGATGGTTTGACCTTTCTATACTATCTAAGGAAGATTGGAGGTCAACTCCCGCACTTTTATTTTATTGCTTCCGTCGACTGCATCCATTTATTCTTGCTAAATTTACTTATAGTTTTTATTCATAGTTATGAGTACTTAATCAAAATAAATTGCTCAAAAAATTCGAAATGCTTGACATTTTATAATGACATTGTGGTGTTAAAGCTTGTGAAATTTTTAAGTTAAAGTTCGAAATACTTTTTTGAGATTTCAAAGAAGTATAAAAAGTTAACACCAGCGAGTTTTAGAATTAAATTTAAAAATTTTGTTTTAAGTAAGTTAAAAGTGTAAGAGTGTCATACACTTCAATCGATGGGAATCTAAAGTAGTTTATGATCGAAAATTTTCGTTGAAAAGTGAAAATTTAAAGTTGCAATATGTGGATTATCCAACTAATTACTGATTTTCATCAATCATTCACTGATCAGTGATAATGATCAATCACTTACTGATCGCTGATGTTTTTTCGCTGCTCAAATTACTACTAATGACTTTATAGTGTAAAAGTTAAGCTGAGCTTTTAAAAGCAAATAATTTGAGCCATTTTAAAGTTTCGTCGCATTTGCTAAATTCTAAATTTATTCTCTATTTTTTATTTTCTGCTGAGCTTAGTACAGTATTATAATTTTGAATTCAAAAAATGCCTTATCTACGGTTTTGACGTTGCATCTACAAATTTTTTAATTTTTTTCTTTTTTTAAATTACACTTTTATTTTTTTCACAATGCGTTTTTATTCTTTTTTTTAAGTTGAAAGTACTTTAATAATATTTGTTTATCTTGATTAAAGTACGGAAAATGTTCAAGCATTACCAGGAGAATTTCTTGGCACTTTTAAGCTCGAATGAGATGAAAATTTTGAGCCTTATCTATTACTATAAAGTGAATATAATATAGTAATTTTTGTTTATTTTGATTAAAGTACGCATATTACAGTAAGCATGTAGGTAAATTTAGCAAGAATAAATGGATGTAGTCGAAATTTGACAAACTTCAAAATTAGATAATAACAAATATCGAAAATTGGGTCCTCTGATAAAATCACTGTTTTTTTTAATATTTCAGTTCGTTCTATATATTAGACTAAGTCTTAAACACTAAGAGCTCCGATCTTAAGATGATTATGCTAACAGGCTTAATCTTGATTGCCTTAGTTACTGTAACTATTGAAGTTCAGTCTGGTGATATTTTATCGAGGGAAAATGTTCAAGCATTACCAGAAGAATTTCTTGGCACTTTTAAGCTCGAAAGAGATGAAAATTTTGAGCCTTATCTTGAAGCAAAAGGTATATCAAATTTCTAGCTTGTATTCAGGTAATAGCTTTCCAATTGTTTTTTCTCAAATGAGAAAATTTAACAATTTCAATTTATTTTCAGCAATAAAAGGTAAACTAGTGTTATAGGAGTTGGATGGTTCACAAGACAAATGATCAAATTTGCTAGCGTTACTAAGATTTTGAGCAAATCCGATCAGCCAAATCGTTACACTATGAAAAGTACTGTTGGACATAAAGAAACATTATTTGAAAATTGGGCTTTAGGAGAAGAATTGATCGCTGAAGCTTTAGACAGCACGCAACACAAGGTAAACTGTAATTTGCATATGCAGTACAAGAAATAATTTCAGTATCTAACTTTAATGTAAATTTGAAATATGTCAGCTTTTGGCAAATTTATAGTTAAATTTTGTTTTATTATTTAGTGAGGTGAAAAATGAAAGCAAAGCATATGCAAACATTTTTTAATTAATATTATTCAAATTATGATTTCGTTTAAAAGAATATTATCCGAAGTTAAATGATTGCTGCTAACAAAGAGTAAAGGATTTGCAGTAAATTAAGCTTTTCAGTAAGTATTTGTCATAAAAGGAAGGAACCAAAGATTTCTTTAGTTGTTGAATAGTTGAAAATCAAAAAACTTTTTAGAATAATCGAAATGAAATTTGATCTATTTTTAAAGTTAATTTAAAAAGTCGTAAAGATGTGTAATCTTTAGATCACTTTCAACGTAAAAGATAATACATTAATGGAAACGCACGTGAAGATTGCTGATCCAAATGAAATTGAAACTTATGAATATCGTCGAGAAGGTGATTATCTGATAATGGTAAGGTATCATAAATATTTACACGCGAGTTGAGTTGTTCTTCTAAAATGCACATTCTACAATTCAAAATTAAAGGCTATACAGAATTATGTGAGACTTTTTATTTTCCATGTATTTTTGTGCAAAAAATTTTGATTTGCAAAAAATGCATTTTTAATTTTTGCATCTAAAATTATCACTTCTGAAATATTTGAGTTAAAATTCATTTACTTTTGACTCAGAAATCGAAATGAATCAAAATTTTATCACAAACAATGCATTTTAGAAAATGGAATGGAAAGGAGTCAAAGCAGTTCGATACTACAAAAAGCAATAATATTTTTATCATTTCGAATTTTGCTAATTATTTCAATGTCATTGTTTTAAATTGTCGTTGAACTATCGCAGTTTTTTAACAAAATGTTAAAAGAAGTTGGAAATAAACTTGAGCAGCCTGTTAACCTTCTCGAAAAAAATGTTTTATAGCAGTAAATTGTAAAATTAAATATCACACTGAAAACTGTATCAGTGATCTGTGCAAGCATTTCATCGCAAAAATGTAAATTAGATGCCCGAAATGCAGTAAGTGTCCTAATATCATATCTGTAAATATGAAACAAAGTTCAAAGGTTATAAGATGTAGTCATCAGCATGATTAGTTTTTGCTTTTTAAAAACTGAACGATCAAGAAAATTAGCAATAATTTGCAGTCCAATAATGGAGGATAATCACTTTTGCTACATTAAAGTTATTTCACGCTAGTAATAACAGAGCATTTAACTTACCAGCCTGTTAGTGTGTACATTAAGTAGATTACTTTTGAAGACTCAAAATTTGCTGATCTGAACTAACTGTAGTGGTTAGCAGATGGACTTTTTTTTTTACAGATTCGTGTTTAGTTCAGTAATGCAAGTTTGAAAATGTAATTAGCATTGGCTTATTATAGATTATTCTCTGATTCATTTGTGTATGAATTAGATAATTAAACTGTTAATAATGGTTGTCTAATTCTAAGTCATAGCAAAAATTGTTCAGGAATTTTAAAACCTTTTATTACTATTATGTAAGTAAAAAAATTAAAGGTAATGAGATCACCAGAATAATGTCCATAACTACTATTCCTGAGTGATATTTCAATTTCAATTTGGAATTTGAAATTGTATGTATATTTATATGCGCATGCAGTAAAATTTTAAAATTTCAATAGACTAAGTTAATGATTGATGAATGAAGTAGTGACAGCCAGATGGATTCAATCGGCCCAGCTAGTATTAAGCTAATCACGAGATTAATCTGCCTTATTTTCAACTTTTATTATTAAGCTTACATTATTTTTCGATATTTCAGTTCAAAATGAAATTATAACACTTTTATTTGGAAAGTTGATGAACATTTATTGCGTTTATGATTTTAATAATAAGCTGGATTGAACTTAAATTTGTTATCTGCATATACCTTTACGGTAATTATTTCATAAAGTTTTTTCATTTTTGAATACTCTTATTAAAAGATTTTTGAATTTGTTATCAGTATCATATCATTAGATATTTAAATTTGTTATCAATATCATATTAAGTCTGAGAGATGAATGAAGTGGGAAGTGATATGATAGAATCCATATCGGACGAATTATATAAATTTGGCCCCGATGCGAGGAAACATTTCGCTATATCATGAGAAATAATTAAATTTTATTGCAAAGTACTGAAATTAGTTCAAATGCGCGAGTTCACTTTTTTATTGATTGATCAAATATTTTGTTCTAATTTTCCTCAATAAAACATTTTTGAAGGTTTTCTACAGATTTTTAGATGCTTTATGGCTTTCATTTTTATATTTGTTTACAAATTTTTCCTTGTTATTAAAAATTATTTTTCACTGGATTTTTTCATATGTAGAAGAAATGGCATACAATGCATACTGCCGATTATTGTTTGATTAATAATATATGCTTAAATCATTAATACTGCATATATTTGAATTTAAAATGTAATGAAATTAAGAAATGTATTTCAAAAAATATTCACATGTACTGCCCTAATGACCAATATCAAATATCATTCATTACAATTAGTTTAGAGAAATTGTACAGTAATAATATGTTAGAATCTGTGTAATGCATTTATGTGTAAATATTTACTTACATAAAACTCTCAGTTTTTATTTACTTTTTTTTGATATTCGATTGAGATTGTTCAGTACGAATTCAATCTATCAGTCGAATTATTGTCAGCTTTATATTTTACTCTCATCGCATCTTCACTTATAAGTTTATATTCAATTTATTTCTGGCTGAATTTGAATTTGAATTTACTTGTTTTTTTTTTAATTATGCTGAATTAATCGTAACATACATGCATGCCATAAAAAGCTTCATATGTATTTTTTCTCAAATTATTGAAGCAAATTTCGAACAACTTCAGATGGCAACTACCCTTTCTTCAAAAATTTTGATGTAATTAATAACAGTCTCTTTATTCAAGCTGCTGTGCATTAATAATAGGGGCTTATTAATTGCAAAATTCTGTTACTCAAATTATGGTAACTGCTTTCACCATCTCAAGTAATTCGATTTTAAATTTGAGATTTTTTGAAATAATCTTCTCGAAATTATAGAAGCTATCACAAACTGTTACTTCAGTTTTTTTCAAGTTTTTTAAAAGATTAAAGTATTGATAGTCAATTTAACTTCTAGTTCTAATCACGTAATTACGGTATTCCTTCAAAACATGAAAATTTCTTTCAAACGTGCTTCTTTATCACGAATATATCAAAAATATTTTCCATGTTGATCAACAAAAACAGTTGTCTTTTGAAGTTTTATTCTTAGATTAATAATGATAGATTATTTCATTCTGAAATTTTCATGTCAGCAAATATGTTTTCAGTTTCAAGTTAGATTTCAATATATTGTTCGTAAATATCCAGAAAAATGTACTCAAAATATGTTTTGATGAAGCAGTTATTGACGTCATTCATTAAATATTGTTGATAATGATTAGATAGTAATTATACTGATTAAACCAAAGTGTCATTACGATATTTTATATTCAAATATCTTTACATCGTTTTTGTAGAATATATTTTTAGACCAAATGAATGTTAGTATTAACTGGTTTACTTTGAATAAAGAATCTTTCTTATTTCAGTATATTATATATTGTATATATAATATATAACATAAAGTAAATCAACTAATTAATTAATTAAATTTAATTAATTGATTAAATAAGTATTAAAAAAGAATTACTTGACAAAAGCTAAAGCGCTTTTGCAGTCAAACAATAACGATGGATTGAATTTAAAGACTTTAGACGAAAATGCTAATTATTGATCTGATCAATTTTAAATATCAAAGTTGTTATTGGAAGGGAGCTTAGAAACAATTCATAATATAGTAAAAAACATAGCAAGAATACAGTTCCAATCAGGTCAGATCAATTTTGACTTACCAACTGGGTCATTCGCTGTCAAATTTTTGCAACCAATTAACTCGTGATTTATCAATTAAAATATTGCAATTGTTTTTATTTAATTCCAACTGATTCTATTATTCTCACAGTAAATTTTAAAAGCACTTAAGTTGTTAATTGAATAATTTTGAGTAAATTAATTCCATCACTCGTACAAATTTTCATATTATATTCTTATAACTTTTAACAATTTGATCAAAATTATTTCATGATAAGTAATTATTTGAAATTGTACCCAATTTTCCGGAATTGTAGCTGCTTATATCTCAATTATTTTTGAACTATATCAGTAACCTTCATAATTTTGGATTTCTCTTCAAAATTCACTGGAATCTTTAAAATCTTCGGTTTATAATTAATTAATTACACATTTTTTTCGTGAAATTAATCACATAATAATTCATTATTAATCGATTTTGTTTTTGAGATTCCTTTAAATTTTCACTCAAATGTCAAAAAAATTTTTTCTCAGTTAAATGATTTGATTATCAGTTTTAGTTTTTTTAAGCAATTTAATACATCAAATTGAATTATTTAGCAAAAAACTAACAAAAGTTATCAATTTTTATATTCTTGCATTGTTCAGTGGTTGATTTCAGGAAAAAACCAATTTTGATTCATAATATTTTTGCAAAAATATTTCTGAAAATGACAAAAAATATTAAAAAATTGCTCCTGTAATATTATATTTCTCACAGAAATTAGTTTACGAGGTTGATATATCTGTTATGCATCTAATAGACCAGTTACACTGATCAATCTAATCCCTTAAATTATCTTTTTATCAGATTAACTTTTTTAAATTTTTTGAAGTTCAGTACTATGAGGTCATAACTTTACATAAATATTTTATCCAAATGCAACGAAAATTTACTATATTATTTGTAATTGTGCACAATTTTCCGGGATTGTAGTTGCTTAGATCTGAAATATTTAAATATTTTTTCCCAAAGTCCCTTCATAGTTTGTATTACTTTACTACTTTTATCATTAATATAATTAATTCCTTTTCTACAATGAAAGTGGAAGGACTAAAAGATTTGAATTCAAGTTCTTTCCTTCAGGTCATTCTTAATTCTATGAATTCAAGTTTTCGATGGCTATTGTTGTTGCTTTTATCATCTCAAATTCACTTTTGTACTACAGCTGAACATCAAAAACTACCGAGCATATTTTTTGGTAAATATACATTGGAAGACTCAGTTAATTTGGATGAGTATCTTGCTGCTCGCGGTTTGTCTTCTTCGCTTTTACTATTTTGTATCACCCAAATTAGCAGAATCCGAATAACTTTTCATACAATAATTGCAATCTTTAAAATACTTTGCTTTATTCTTAGCCAACTTTTTTCATATTATAAAATCTATTCTAAAAGTCCAAGTAAATTGTAAAAATTCTGCTTATTTGCACTTTTATTACCGCCAATTATAACTTTGCTACTGCAAGCTAATTGGATAAGTAACTAATGAATAAATTTAAAAACTTAATAATAAATAATCAATAAATTCTCAAACTGATTAAGATAACGTATAAATTAATTATATCACTTCAGTATATTAATATACTAAACTACTATCATATCCATCTGGATCACTTGCATACTACGCGTTTTCCATTTCAATTTATTTACATTTATAGTGGATACATTATAAAGCAAAATATACGATAGCAAATAATACTTATAATTAGAACAATAACTATTAATATTGCTGGTAAAAAGACTTGCAGGCTATAAATGGCTTACTCGGCGACTAATTTTGG